TTCTTTCTTTCTTTCTTTCTTTCTTTCTTTCTTTCTTTCTTTCTTTCCTCCCTCCCTCCCTCCCTCCCTCCCTCCCTCCCTCCCTCCTTCCTTCCTCTTAATTACTCCTGCCAGTCTTATGTGTGCTCACTGCAACACCCCTGAAGGGCACTTTGGCGAGTGTGACAATGGATGAGCACATTCCCATCTTAATTATCTTTGGTTCTGCTTTAAAAACCTTACAAATCTTTTTTTTAAACATTACTGAGGTGTTTGCTTTAATTTTTTCTGTAGTATAATATATACCCCAATTGGAAAAGTACACATACAGTAATTGCATCTTTGTTAGTTCCAAGGTCTCCAGACACTTCAAACTATGGGTCCTATTTAAAAACTTCTGAGTTCCCTCTTTCTTCCTACACCCCCTGCTGTTTGTTTCATTTTTTTTTAAGTAGCTGCATGTTCTTTTTCCTTTCCTTTAGAGCGAAACTCCAGTCTAATGACAAATTCTTGCATAGTCTCATAGGATTTTATCTCCAACAAAACATTTTATTTACTGTCATTGCTCCATGGATGCCTGGCTACTTGGTACAATGTAGTCTGAGGTTTTTGCCTTGAGCAGCACCTAGGGCTTTTCTGCATTCTCAGTTAAGCTTTCTGTTTCCTTCTGTGTGGAACTGAGGATGGTGCACAAGCTGTCTCACATGCCAAACACATGGTCTAATGCTGAGCTGAACCCTGGCTAGATTTTTATTTTCAGTGATACAAACAGATGTATAGGCACAAGTAAGTTCTTATATCCCTAAGGTGTGTCAGTGACACTCCCCCAGCTCTTCCTACACAGTGACTTGAGGCCCCCTGTTCATGGTGATGAGGCCTCGTTATGCAAGATGCAGCATGGCAGACTGTACATAAGACCCATGACCCAAGAGGATGTGTCTCATTTGGTGTCTAGGTCATGGACTGACCAAGCCCAACAAGTGTGTCTCCAAAACTGCCCATGAGATAAAGCCATATAGTAGACAGGCACAGATTATGGATCAAGTGGAGGACCTACAGAACCTCAAACCCAACTGCCTCATTTACAAGGCACCAAGCGAATCATTAACTCCAAGACCTGTCCTAACCCAAGGGGCACCCAAGTTGCATGTGGTCAAGAACGGTTTCCACGGAAACCAAGTCTTCAACCTATGCCAAACACTCAAAAGGAGCCTGAATTTTTCTTCTCGTTAGTGGTTGAGATGACTAAAGGCCACCATATCTCATTCGTGCTCCTCCAAGCCACAGGAGACCTACACCAAATTCTACACCAAACAAAGGGGTTTTTTCTCCTTCCCCTGCTCATTGGTTGTGCATTTAACATTCTTGGTCACAGTGGACACACATCTCAAATTGGCAACAATTCAAGTACTAGGATTTCTTCCACCTCCTTTCCTGAAAGGGCCAGTCTGGGGTGTTCCAGCACAGA